TTGGCCAAATACTCAAAATCTTTTATTGAGGAAGATGAACCAGCTAAGAAAGAAAATGCCAGCAAAAAAGAAGCAAAAGTATCTAAAATAGATAATAAAAAGCAAAATGCAGTAGAAAAAGAGAGGCCGTCAATCAGTAAGGTGAAAAATAAGGTCGTGCCGGAGAAACACTCTGCTACGAACAGTAGCGCCATACCAAAAGTAAAGAAAGATAAACAACAGGATATCTTTGAATTTTTTGAGAGACAAACTTTGTTGCTCAAGTCTGGAGGCAAGTGGTATGATCTGGAGTATGCCAACGAATATTGTTTGGAACCCCAGCCTCAGGATATTGTGTCTAAGTACAAAACCCTGGCTCAGAAACTATATGAGTGTGAAGTTAACTTATTCAAAAATAAAACAAATAATCAAAAAGGAGCCTCTTCTACCTGGATGAAGGCAATTGTATCATCAGGAACATTAGGTGACAGGATGGCAGCCATGATTCTCCTTATCCAGGATGATGCTGTTCACACACTCCAGTTTGTGGAAACTCTCCTGAACCTGGTTAAAAAGAAGGGCAGCAAGCAGCAGTGCCTCATGGCTTTAGATACTTTCAAAGAGTTACTCATTACAGACCTTTTACCAGATCATCGGAAGTTGCGGATTTTCAGCCAGCATCCTTTCAACAAACTGGATCAGGTGTGCAGTGGCAACAAGGATTCCAGAGATAGAAGACTGATATTATGGTATTTTGAACACCAGCTGAAACATTTAGTAGCTGAATTTGTTCAGGTCTTAGAAACCTTCAGTCATGATTCATTAGTAGCCACTAAAACTCGGGCCCTGGCAGCAGCTCATGAACTACTCTGTAACAAGCCTGAAGAAGAAAAGGCTCTTCTGGTGCAGGTGGTAAATAAACTGGGAGATCCTCAGAACAAAATAGCCACTAAAGCCTCCCATCTGTTAGAGACATTACTTTCTAAACATCCAAATATGAAAGGAGTTGTGTGTGGTGAAATAAAAAGACTACTCTTCCGCTCAAATATCAGCGCCAAGGCTCAGTATTATGCGATTTGCTTTCTAAATCAAACAGCCCTCTCCCATGAAGAAAGTGAATTGGCTAGCAAATTAATAACTATCTATTTTTGTTTTTTTCGGACTTGTATCAAGAAAAAAGATATTGAGTCAAAAATGCTCAGTGCCCTTTTAACAGGTGTGAATAGGGCATACCCTTACTCCCAGAGCGGGGATGACAAAGTGAGGGAGCAGGTGGACACTTTGTTCAAAGTGTTGCATATTGTAAACTTTAATACCAGCATTCAGGCTTTGATGCTGCTTTTCCAAGTAATGAATTCTCAGCAGACGATATCGGATCGGTATTATACAGCATTGTACAGGTAAGTAGGGAGTGTTCCACTGTGCGCATGGGAGTGATAAATGGATCTAGTAGTGCGCGTGTAGTGCCTGGCTGCTGGGCAAGAGAAGGACCCAGAACTGGCTTTAGGCCTTCCTCAGCTGCTTGCTACTTCCCAACTTTGCATGTGTCACATACTACCGCCTACTGTTGTAAAGTTAACATTTGCCACATTTGCCATAAAGTTTGAGACAAGAAAATAAGCCACAAGTGCATTTGCACTGCCTTTCTCATATTATCAGTTCTCTGTTCCCTCTCTGTCCAATAATTCATTCTGTGAGGGGGACGTTTTTCATTTGTTTTCTTTCCGTTGCTGTGGATTGAATTCAAGGCCTTCACACTGAGCAATGTTCCTAGCCCTCTAGTTTTTATTTGGAAACAGGGTCTCAGTAAATTGCCCACGATGGTCCCAACTTGTAATCCTCATGTCTAAGCTGCTCAGAGTGCTAGGAGTCTGTGGGTGTGCCACGGCATTCATCTCCATATTCTCCACATGCTCAGGCTACAGCACAGTGGCGCCCCACTCTGAGAAGCACTTAGAAGAAAGTATGTTAGATACAGATTTCGCTTCCTGTACCACAGTTATCCTACAGCTCTCTCATTGAGGCAAGATACTTTATAACATCATGTAAAACCTTAGGAGCTGTTCAGATATGCCAACAAACTATTTTAGTGAAGAATGCAACTTACTTAATTCTATATACTTTTTTTTTTTTTTTTTTTTTAAGTAATGGGGATTTAACCCAGGGGAGCTTTACCACTGACAAACATCCCAGCACTTCCAGTTTTTTTGGTGTTTTTTTTTTTTACTTCCAGTTTTTTTATTTGAAATGTTATCACTATGTGGCCCAGACTGGCCTTGAATTTTTGACCTTCCTGCCTCACCCTCCTGAGTAGCTGAGATTACACGTGTATCCCACTACTCCTAACTGCATCCACCACTCCTAACTACATAGACACATTTGTGAGGAAAAATATAATGTGGTAGTTAATAATATAGACTCCAGCAACAGTGTCTGGGTTTGAATCCTAGCCATTAGTGTACTGTGTAACTTAGCTAATTGCTTTATTTTCATTAAAACTTTTGACAGTAGATGTAACTAATCCCATCTTATCATATCTTAATTTATTAGAAAATGCAAAGCAAATCACCTATCTTATGGTTACTGTCAAAAAAAAAAGAAAAGAAACACTTCTGCACTTTTGGGGGCCTGCCCATTAGCTCAGTTGTTCAAGTGACTGCTTAAAGCAATCAGGATGTTGTGGTTCGATCCCCAGATCCTCAAGCCTTTACCAAACCTGCCCTGAAGTCATCCTGAGCCGGCAAAAAAAAAAAAAAAACAAAACACTACTCATGATTACTGTCAAGATTATGAAGCATGGGGGGGCCTGCCCCTTAGCTCAGTTCTTAAGTGGCTGCTTCAACAAAGCAGTCAGGCTCAGGTTGCTGTGGTTC